TCCTCCAGTTCGGCTTCGGCCGAATTTCATCAGACTTGAAGTCGGCGACATCAGACTTGAAGTCGGCAAGGCCCCCAGTGAATTCGGCGATATAGTCGGCAAGCACCTGTCCCTTGATTGAGGTTCTGGGTAGAAATTGAATATCGTACTGGCCAAGTTCCAGAGCCCACTTTGAAACACGTCCAGATGCTTCCGCACTGCGTAGTACTGATCGGAGGGGATAATCTGTTAGCACCCCAATGTTATGCCCCTGGAAGTAATGCATGAGCTTCCTTGCCGCTATAGCTAGGGCTAGGATGAGCTTTTCCAGTGGAAGGTAGCATGTTTCAGCGTCAACCATTACCTTGCTCACATAATACACTGGCTGCTGCTCCCCCAGCTTTTCCTTTATCAATATGACGCTGACGGCTTAGTCAGAAACTGCCAGGTACAAAATGAGCGGGTCGCCAGCAGAAGGTGTTATCAGGAGTGGTACTGAGCGGAGGTAGGTCTTCAAGCCGTTGAAAGCGGCTTCGCACTCGGCGGACCATTCAAAGGCTTTGCCCTGCCGTAGTGTATGAAAGAATTGTCGGCAGCGATCTGTGGACTGGCTGATAAACCTGTTGAGTGTGGCAGCCATCCCCATCAACTTTTGAATCTCCTTTACTGAACGAGGGAAGCCGAGCTCCAGGATTGCTGTGATTTGCCTTGGGTTGCCTTCGATTCCTCTGTGGTTGACAATGTAGCCTAGGAATTTGCCAGAGCCGATACCAAATGCACATTTGGAAGCGTTCAACTTTATTCCATATTTGCGTAGGACACCGAATGTCTTTTCCAGATCGGCTATATGATTATGCTCTTCTTTGGACTTGACCACTATATCGTCAATGTACACTTTCATAGTTTTGCCGAGTTTCTCCTTGAACATGGTGGTGACCAGTCTCTGGTAGGTTGCCCCTGCATTCTTCAACCTAAAAGGCATTACCTTATAGCAATAGGTTCCTCTTGGGGTGAGGAATGCAGTTTTCTCTTGGTCCTCCGGATGCATAGCGATTTGATGATAACCTCTATAGGCATCAAGGAAGCTCATACGCTGATGGCGCGCCGTAGCATCTACAAGCTGGTCTATCCTGGGAAGAGGAAAACAATCCTTTGGGCAGGCTTTGCTTAGCTCCGTGAAGTCGACGCACACTCGCCAAGTTCCATTTTTCTTCTTCACCACCACTGTATTAGAGAGCCATGTAGGGTAGGTCACCTCCCTAATTGCCCCGGCATCAAGCAGCCTGTCAACCTCCTCAACAACGACGGCAGTGTGCTCTGCGGCTGACTGCCAGCTTTTCTGAATGATCGGCTTGCACTTAGGATCGACATTCAAATGGTGTTGTAAAACTGACGGATCTATACCCGGCACCTCGTACGGAGTCCATGCAAAAACATCGAGGTTGCTGAGCAGGAAAGATATTAGCTGCTGTCTGTTGGCCTGATTCAAGGAGGCGCCGACCATGAAAAACTTGTCTGGGCTTCCATCGATTTGAACTCGTTCTAAGTCTTTCGTTGCCTTTTCATTTGGGAGCCGTCCAACATCGTCGAGGCTTTCTCGATCCGGCAACTCAATGGAATTCACCTGTAGTTCCTTTAGCGTTTTCTCAGCAAGGAGATAACGTGCTTGTGTCGATTTCTGGGAGCCACGGATTTGTTCAATACCGCGTTCTGTCGGGAAGCGGAGAAGCTGATGATAGATGCTGGGTACGGCTCGCATAGTATGCAACCAGGATTGCCCCGTGATGAGATTATACGGCGACGACAGCTTGACGACCAAGAATCCCACATCCACTACTCGGGAACCTGCTCGAACGAGAAGTCTAATTTTTTCCAACGGGTACTCTAGATTGGCATTGAAGCCGAATAGTGGATAAGGGGTCGGAGAAAGATCCGATTTGGAGAAGCCGAGTTTGGTGAATGTCTTGTAGTACATAATCTCTCATGTGCTCCCCGGATCAATGAGTACGCGCTCAACTGTGAATCGGTTTACGCGTAACTCAATTACCAAGGGATCAATGTGGGGCAATGTTACTCCGGCCAAATCCGAATCATCAAAAGTGATAACATCGGCTTCATGGGGCCGTTTAGCCGGAGTGAGTTGCTCATGAGGGTTAGACTTCGACTGAATCGCGTGCACCGCCGATGACATTGGCAGGCTGTATATCATGTGGATCACACGGGGCGAATGAGAATCCTGTGTCAAGGCTATTGCTTTGGTTGGGTTGCCTTTTCGGACGTACTGTTGTAGCCGGCCATCTTGTACCAATTTACCGTCGTACAAGGTGAATGACGGTGCTTTGAATTTCTTGGGTAGTCCTGCCTTTGCAAGCCGTCGTACAAAAGGATCATGTTGATCGTCATCCGAGCTGTTTCTTCTTTGCTTACGCCTTGTACGGGGACTCTCTTAAGAAGAACTGGAAATTTCAGATCGTCCATTTTTCTTGGGCTCTGAGGATAATGAGTCGGAGTTGCTATCAATATCTTGTTGTCAGGCTCGAGATCGTCGACCAGCTGTCCTCACGAGTCGTTCCGGGCCTTGGTATGCAGCTTGTTTGGACTTCGCCACCTCCAAGGCCAAATCCTGACGAAGATGTTCATTCTTTACAATCATGTTCTCCAATCTTTGTTCGTTTTGCTTTGCTTGTTTCAGGATCGCTTGCATTGCTTCGTGCTCCGAAGTCGAGGGTGAGGCGAAATTCAAGGCACGTCTTGCAGCGATAGTCTCTGTTCTAAGCATTTTTGTTGGAGTGGTTTCATCTTGCGGTATATGGTCGACAGTGACTGTCGGAGGATCTTCTGCCACGCTCGCCATGGATGTGCTTGAGTATTCCCACAGACGGCGCTAATTGTGGAGAAGTGATTTGGAAATACTCTTCTGATCTTGGGGAATGCTCGCGATCCTTTTCTAGTCACCTGAAAAGGAATAAACACTCCGGTCGGGGGTGCAGGAATTAGTACTCCGACGGACAAGTCAGTCTCAACGCTCAAGAATGCTTGTATTCTAAGTTTAGCACAACAATTCTCACATACCTCTTTCTGGCTGATGTTTCTTCTATTTATATCTTTTTTTCCTTGGGCCTCGGGATTAGATTCATTTCCCACCTCATATTCGGCACATTTTATAATAGACCGATTTTCACTCGGCCCCTTACTTAATTGGTTATTCGGTGGAGTAGGGTTGGATTTGAGCTTTCGAGCCAATTGCCGAGTGTTTCGAATCCCGATTCTCCCATATTCGACTATCTGGAATCTCTACGACTCCTAATTCTCGACCCCCACAAATATGAATCCAATAAGAAACGTTAAAAATAACGTTTGAGTCTCATCTTAATTAATATTCAAAATTAACAAAAAAATAAATAAATAAAATATTTCTAAAGCCTCCAAAATCATTTTCCAACATTTTGAACTTGTGCTACCTTTGATGTTAGGAATGCCCCACTTTACGAGGCCTTGGAGTAACAAGAAGAGAGGAGAAACTATGTTATGTGTGTCAAGTGTTAGAAATTGGGGCTGTGGATCAAGTATAAATTTTAATGTTGCTTTATCCTATACTTGGAACTTGCTCAGGATATGTACGAACTAGTTAAAAAATATCCAAATAGTAGAGCATTCGTACCCTAAGGTATTCACAATGGGATTGTTAAAATTATTTGTTAAAGTGTGTTATGATAAAAAGTGATAAAAGTGGAGTCTAAAAATATTTGTTAAATGTGTTAAGAGTTTATTAATTTTAGAGAGTGAGTAGTGGTGCAATGGATGTGTTAAGGGGTGTGTTAAGGTGTATATTAAATATATATATATGTGTATATAATAAATAAAATAAATAAATAATTTAGTTTAATAAAAAATTTCAAGTTCAAAATTAAATTTTAAGCAAAAAAAAAAAAAACCCAACAAGCAACCGGCCGGACGTTCGGCCGGTCAACCCGGAAGACAAAAAAAACACTTCTCTGCGCTAGCTAAAGCGCTAGCCGCAGTTAACAAATCATTTAGCAACTGACGCTAACGAAGCTCACTAACACACGCACTAACAACTCCATTGCAGCCCCAAACACACACCACTGTTAGCTAAAACTTGACAACTGACACTAACAAACGCGTTAGTGTGTCCATTGTGGATGCTTTAACAAAAGTTATACAGACTTCTTAATTGCCTATCTCCTTTGCACAATTTTCTATGTATCTTGTATTTCACGCCTATCTATTAGGAATTCAATTCACCGAAAACTATGTGTTCTTTCGAGAAGTTGGTAAAACATTAATTTTTTATTTTTTATTTATTTTGAATCATATCACTTTTCACATAATTTATTTATAAAAAGTTAAAAAAAATCAATTTTTAACCAATTTTTCAAAACATCCTCATGAGAAATTTCATTTTTGTAATTTTAGTAAAGCCTGGGACCTCATTGGGAGAGAACCTAGGTCCCCAGCGGAGCGTGATTGATCTACTGTTTTTTTTTTCTTCTTTTTAATCATTAACCTCCACGTGTGTGGAAATAATAGAGGTGAAAGATGGTGGGGGTCTCTGTTATGATTGTTGTAATTTTTAGCGACTCATTCCAAACCTTGTTTTGGTCGGTCACTTTTTGAAACGGAAATACCAAACTCATCACTCAATACATTGGTGCTACATCACACCCTGTGCCAAATAGATGGAAATGGTGTGACACTGATAAGGGTTATTTGAGATAATCTAAATAAATATGTTTTTTTTTTTTTTTTTTATAAAAGAAATAGAGAAATGACATAATCAAAATAAGTATAATTATCTAAATAAGGACACCTTTCTAGTTTATGTCAAATAGTGCTTTAGTAATTAGCAACGAAACTCCAGTATATAAAAAATATGATATTTTATTTACCGGATCCACCTCAAAAGTATTTGCCAGTTGAAAGATCAAACATTTGAAAACCACAATTAAAAGAGTTAGGCACGCTGTAAAACTATATTATTATTCTTATTCATAATAAAATTGAATTAACAATAAAATTGACCCAATCCTTGCTCATTAAACAACTAATAATACACATAAAATTCAAGCATCATCGCACTCTAGTGTCATTACATTTTAGAAAAAAAGATTACCAAAAATACAAAACAAACCTACAACAAGAATTGATAAAGAGCATATTGCCAGCTCCAAGAGATAGTATCTAGTAAACAATATTTTCTAATTAAACTAGAAGAGTCTAATAATAATTAGAAAATAGTTGTTAGGTCCTGGAGTCCAAGGCCATGATGGTGCTGAGATTCATGGGGTTCATGTACTCGGTGGAGCCAGTCAATATTCGTTGTACAATAATTCTGTTGGCCTTCTCAGTGGGATGGAATGCATCCCAAAATGCATAGAGATCTCTGTCAGGGCACAAGTTGGAGATCATTGTGCAAAGTCCTAGCCCATTGTATGGTCCTTGCCCACAACATGCTACCTTTGATGTTACAAATCCTGTTCAATCCAAGCCCATTATAATTATATGTTAGTTACTACATAATTTATTGGGGAAATTAAAAAAAAAAAATTACGTTTAACATTTACAGCAAAATAAATTCTGAATTTTTAATTTTATCAATTTAAATTCTAATTTTTTATTTGTTTTCAATCTAAATCATCAACATATTTTCGTTAAGTAAAATTGATGAAAAAAATGATATTTTAGTCATTAAACTCAATATAAGTGTACATAAAATGTTCAAAATATCCTTTTTTATTAAGTTTAATAACTAAAATATTATTTTTTTCGGTCATTTTTACTTAACAGAAATAGGGAAACAATTTAGATTAAAAACAAATAAAAAAATTTGGATGTAAATTTATAAAATTAAAAACTCAATTTATTTTGTTATAAGGGTCAAACCCTCAATTTTTGTTGTTGTTGTAATTCTCCTAATTTATTTAGTTTGGGTACACAAAATCATATATAGTCTAAATCATCAAATTGTTTATAGCAATGTTATCTGCAAAACATAGGGAGGTAATTATTTGCTGCATCCCATGCTACCATTGGATCGAGGAATTTAGTGAAAAAAGAAATTGAAGAGCAAGAGAACAATTATCACTTGTTTAATTATTGAGGTAAAAAAAAAAGAGAAAATTTTTAAGGGAAAAAAAAAAACTCTCTTAAAACTCACATTTTGTTTCTGTAAAATTGGTGAGATTCGGAAAGTTACTATAATTCTTCTTTTTTTTTAAAAAAAAAATATGTAAAATCGCCTATTTATATAGAAAATTTTGAAAATAAAATCACACATATGCACTCTTTCATTCAACGTTCATCTAAACATAATGATAAAAAATTACAATTATTTTTATTTTTATATTTACCTAGGTGTGAAATCATGTTCTTAATAATTTTTTCTCACCTAATTTACCAAACAATGCATGTCATCCATACGAGAGACAGTCCATTAAATCCCAGTAGCCCTACTAAACTGTTCCCTCCATCAATTTTTTGTTCCCTTGTTACCAAACCCCTTGGTCCCTATTTGGTCTCATTAAATTGGCTATGTGTTAACTATCCAAATAAATTAATAAAGGCCCATAGTTGGTTGGATTTGGACCTACTGCATTTAAACACGAAAATTAATCACATAATAAATAAATACTAAGCGATTTGTTTTTATATTTATAGCAAAATAGAAAGAGAAAGATTGCGAGAGTAAGAGAGAGAAAATGGTTTTGACATACCATATGCTTGAGGATTGGAGATGAAATCCATGTTCATTTGAAATGCATTTGCAACTACAAACACATTAGATCCGATTTCGCTATTGAGTTCGTTTATCATGTCAGCAACTTGGGGGTTGAACAATGCCGCAGCCCGTTGCAATTCCACCACGCACTCCCCTGTCCTGCTCCGCTGAGCCAACTCCGCCGGCACACAGCCCATCGGGCCGGTGCTAGTCACCAAAACCCGTCGAGCTCCCAATTCATACAACCTCTGCAGTTATATATTTATTATAGGACTTGATAGTTAAAAATTTAAAATTAATTTTTATATTTCATATCAATTCCATGTTGAAGACAACATGTACACATGAACTAGTGAAGCAGACCCTTTAACGCTTACTTTATGTAGAACAAGGTGTTGCCCTTTTGTTAAGAGTTAATGTAAGTAATTTAGGTTTGACTTAGAAGGGCCAAGGTCCACAATGGAGTTTACTAAATTACTACATGATCAAATATAAAATATCATTAAATATAAGGATAATAATTAAGATTTACATGCAAATAGAAAGATATGTTGCTAGGGAGATTCAATTAACCCGTTGACTTACAAGAGCATAATTCAAGAAAATTTGCTAACTCCGATTAAATTAATTTGTCATGATAGTTTATACTTTCTCATGTTACTACAACAAATTAAGGCTTTTAGAGATAAAAAATTATGGACAAAATCACTGCTTAGAGATGAAATATTAATCGCCAAAAGTGTTATCGTCTTTTTTTTAAAGACGAAATTGGACATGAGTGATGAATTACTATCTTTTTTGGATTAAATTTTTTGTCTAAAAATTGAACATTTTTTGCACTAATTATTTTGTGTTTAAAAATATATTTATTAATAATTTTTCAAACTTTTATCGTTATTTTTATTTTTATTTTTTAACTTTTCAAAATCACCGTGTAAATGTAGTAGTGAGTGAAAGACCCATTCTAATTGTGTAACTCACTAAATTTTAGGATCAAGAGTTCAAGTAATCTAATGGCATGGTCTGCAAGGAAACATTAAAGCATTCATTTTTTTAAAATTTATTTATTAAGATTAAAGCATTCACTTTGGCTTATGTTGACAAAATTGTAATGTTGTGTTTGATTGAGGGATTTGAGAAGAGATTTGAAAAGAGAAATAGAAAATGTATGTGCAGTATGAATAAAACATATCTATATTTTACCTAGTTTCACACACATTTTCTCTTTCCGTTTCTAAATCTCCCCCTAAATCTTTCAATCAAACCCAACATAAATAAATTTTTTGAATTTATAGCATCACTCATAGCTTGTCTGTTACTGTTTGTTTGGGAATTATTTTTCTTAAAAATAAATTTTTAATTTTTTTATAAAAAAATATATATATAAAAAATTAAAAATAATAAATTGTCTTTTTTTTAAAACTATTTTAGGCCCCGTTTGTTTTGGGTGTTCAGGATGAGATGAGATTAGGATGGAGGTGTGGTCATTTAGCGTTGTGTTTATTTATAGAATTGGAGAAGGGATTATGATAGAGGAGGGGATTAAAATGGAGGTTGGAAGAGGGATTGTGATGGAGGATTTTTTTGAACATTAATGTTTAATTTTTTGTATTTATTTATTTATTTTATTATTTTATATAAAAATAATTTAACAATTTTTACACTAACAACTATCATCAAAATAAATATAATTTTATTTAATCCTCTCACTATCAGTCTCTTTACTATAAATTTCTTATATTCTACCTCTAAAAATAAACGGAGCTTAATTCATTCTCAAACATGACCCTAACCTTACAGTCAGAGAGGTCTTTTTTTTAAAATTTTTATTTTTATTTTTATAAATGCATTGGTAAATGGCTTTAATGAGCACGTGAAAAAAGCAGTGGAAGGGATTTAACACGTCCACCAACCAAACCAACCAAGCATGGATAAGGCATTGGCTAGTCAATGTTGTCTCTTCCGGGCATACGTGCATGCATGCCCAACTTGTTTCCACCATAAATATCAAAACATTGCTAAATTCACTATATAGAGTGGATACATTTTTTCAAGTAACAATTTTTTGTGTTTTTATATTTTTAGTGATTTTTAAAAATTTTAAAATTATTTTTTTGTTTTTTAGATCCACTCAAAACACTTAAAAAGTATAAAATTAATTTAAAAATATTAAAAAAAATTCATTGAATATAACAAAATATGCAAAGGTATTGAAAATTTATATATTTTTTTTGTAAGTTTTTTTGTTTTTAAATGTTTCTAGATTATGTGTATCAAAAAAATTTAAAACTTTGCTTAAAATATTAAAAAAATTAATTAAAAACAGAAAAAAAAAACAATGAAAAAAAAATCAATTTGCAGAAAAACAATGTAAACCAATCAAAGTGATAATGTTAATTAATGTGATTAAATTTATGTATTAAATTTAAATATAATTTCATATGTTTCATTAATGTATTTACAACACATCCTATGATATTTAAAATTAATTTAGTTGCCCTGGGGGTGGGTTTAGCGAAAGGGTTGGCCCAAAAATGCTTTCAACTTGGGTTCAACTCTTCGTTACCCCTCGGCGCGGCGCCTTTATAGGGATGACAATGGATAACCTACCCTGTGGGTATCCATGGAGACCCAACCTAAATACATGGGTTTTTCCCTCTTTTTCTTATCCATTGGGTAGGGTAGGTGATATCTTTAAATATCCACAGGGGATGGGTTGGGGATGGGTACCCACTAATTTCCCCATATGTTTTTTTTTTTTTTTTTAAATAGACCCTTTAACGCTTACTTTATGTAGAACAAGGTGTTGCCCTTTTGTTAAGAGTTAATGTAAGTAATTTAGGTTTGATTTAGAAGGGCCAAGGTCCACAATGGAGTTTACTAAATTACTACATGATCAAATATAAAATATCATTAAATATAAGGATAATAATTAAGATTTACATGCAAATAGAAAGATATGCCCTAACTTGCTAGGGAGATTCAATTAACCCGTTGGCTTACAACAGCATAATTCAAGAAAATTTGCTAACTCCGATTAAATTAATTTGTCATGATAGTTTATACTTTCTCATGTTACTACAACAAATTAAGGTTTTTAGAAATAAAAAATTATGGACAAAATCACTGTTTAGAGATGAAATATTAATCGCCAAAAGTGTTACCGTCTTTTTTTTAAAGACGAAATTGGACATGAGTGATGAATTACTATCTTTTTTAGATTAAATTTTTTGTCTAAAAAATTGAACATTTTTTGCACTAATTATTTTGTCTTTAAAAATATATTTATTAATAATTTTTCAAACTTTTATTGTTAATTTTATTTTTTATTTTTATTTTTATTTTTTAACTTGTCAAAATCACCATGTAAATGTAGTAGTGAGTGAAAGACCCATTCTAATTGTGTAACTCACTAAATTTTAGGATCAAGAGTTCAAGTCATCTAATGGCATGGTCTGCAAGGAACATTAAAGCATTCATTTTTTTAAAATTTATTTATTAAGATTAAAGCATTCACTTTGGCTTATGTAGACAAAATTCTAATGTTGCGTTTGGTGGAGGGATTTAAGAAGAAATTTGAAAAAAGAAATAGAAAATGTATGTGCAGTATGAATAAAACATACCTATATTTTACTTAATTTCACACACATTTTCTCTTTCCGTTTCTAAATCTCTCCCAAAATCTTTCAATCAAACACAACATAAATAATTTTTTTGAATTTATAGCATCACTCATAACTTGTCTGTTACTCTTTTTTTAAATTAAAAGAATTTTTCTTAGTTATGAACAGATTTAACTGAAATCAGCTTGTTTCCCAATGTTATGCTTCATTTATTTAGATAGAAAATATTTTTTAATGAAAAATATTTTTTATAAAAAAAATGCAAAATATATTTTTTTTTATTTGGTGGTGGTGGTGATGGAACGAAGGTGAAAGTAGAAATTGTTACATAGTGGTGGGGTGATGGCGGCAGTGGTGATGGTAATGTGACAGTGAAAGTGAGAATAGTGGTGATGGTGTTGTGAAATTAGTAAAAATTTAATTGAAAAAATATTTTTTGTTTTTTAAAAGTAACAAACAACAAAATTCGTGGGGACTAAAGGAAGAAGATGGAGGATGGATTGGGTGTGGTAATGCATAGATATCTTAAAATGAGTGGTTCAGATTTGTTAAATGTATAATTAGATTTTGGATAAATTAAAATGAATTGTTCAAATTTGCTAAGAGAAAGATGGTTTAATGTCTAAATTGTCCGTGGCTAACAATTCCTTGTTTATGCCCTGATGCAATTTAATATGAGTCTTATAACACTTTCTTCAAACAAACTTTTTGATTGTCTCAAAATTATATATTTGATTATTATAAAACAAACTTTTTAATTAATTAATTAATGTGTATTTGATTTTGTTGTTGAACCAAATAAAATAAAATATTGAATGTATATTTAACTTTTGTTGTAAACCTTAAAAAAAAAAAATAAATAAATAAGTTGTTAACATTAAATATATTAAAAAAGAAAGAAAAAAGATTGAAGGTATATTTAGCTAAAACCTTTATAAAAAAAGACAAAAGAAAAACAAGAAGGTTGTTAACATTAAATATATTAAAAAAAAAGAAAAAGATTGAAGGTATATTTAACTTTTGTTGTGAACCTTAAAAAAAAAAAAAAAAAAAATTGTTAACATTAAATATATTAAAAAAGAAAGAAAAAAGATTGAAGGTAATTTAACTTTTGTTGTGAACCTTAAAAAAAAAATAAATAAAAAATAAAAAAATAAATAAAAATAAATTATTAACATTAAATATATTAAAAAAGAAAGAAAAAAGATTGAAGGTATATTTAGTTTTTGTTGTGAACCTTAAAAAAAATAAAAAATAAGAAAAGAAAAAAAAAGTGGTTGTTAACATTAAATATAAAAAATAAAAATGGGGATTAAAGTAGGTTGGGAAAAATCCATACCCATTAAAAAATGGGGAGGGTGGTACCCATGGGGAATGGGGAATGGGGAATGGGAGAAATTTATTATAGGGGAAAAATTTAAAACTTTGCTTAAAATATTAAAAAAATTAATTAAAAACAGAAAAAAAAAACAATGAAAAAAAAATCAATTTGCAGAAAAACAATGTAAACCAATCAAAGTGATAATGTTAATTAATGTGATTAAATTTATATATTAAAATTTAAATATAATTTCATATGTTTCATTAATATATTTACACCACATCCTATGATATTTAAAATTAATTTAGTTGCCCTGGGGTTGGGTTTGGCGAAAGGGTTGGCCCAAAAATGCTTTCGACTCGGGTTCAACTCTTCGTTACCCCTCAGTGTGGTGCCTTTATACTTTACCTAAAACAATGTCTTAACTCAGGGTTTGAAACTGGCAGAGCCTGTGCTACCCCCTTTTTTTAACACCAAAAAAAATAAAAAAAAAATTAATTTAGTTACTTAAAAACATAATCATGTTTCTATAATTTTCGTTGTCATCTGATTTTCACTTCATACAAGATATTAAGATTTATGTTATTAAAATGAATAGAATTCACATACTAGGATTTAAGAGTGAGAAAAAGCTGTGAAAAATAAGATTATGTGTGTTAATATATGTGTGCGCAAAAAATGCAAAAGTCCCTAAAAATATTATTAAAAATTTTATACAATACTTAAATAGGTGTCAGTCCCATGTGGTGTCAGTCCCATGTGGTGTAAATTTTATACATACTATTGTGTAAAATTTTTGACATTCCTAACATTAACATTACTCGTGTTTGCATGACATGAGACTTGTGATATTATTTATTATGCTATCACTTAAACCGTTCCTTTTAAAGAAACAAAAGAGGATTAAACCAATCTGTAACGATGTTAATAATTTGATGTGTTAATCTTTTAGGCCCTGTATATAAATTATTCATATAAAGAATGATGCTGATGAACCGATTCACAAGAGCTTAGAAAATCAACAAAATCAAATTGTGAGAGTGAGATTCATGGTAAACTCACAAATTCAAACTAAACCGATTTAGTCTACTTTGTGATTTAAGGACATGCCCAATCCTTTCAAATAAATTTTGGTTTCAGAAGGCATAAATCAATAACAAAATCGGACATAATCATTTCACATTTTGTGAGACTTAAATGTATGTAATAAAGTTATGTCTAATTCTATGCTCGATTTCTTATTAGTAGAACTGAGTTTTGAAAAGTAGAACTGAGTTTTGAAAGAAGAGAAAGGGATGATTACCGCAAGAACTTTGCGATACTCTGAAACGAGATATCGAACGTAATCGGGGAGAGAGAATTGGCGAGATCTTGCGGAGAAGGGAATGAGATAGTAGTTGTTCACAAAATCATTGCCGCCGAGAGTGATGAGAACAAGTGCTTGGTTTACAAGTCTCTGTGTCTGCTCTGCTCCAATCAAATCACTCACTCTTGTTTGGTACTGTTCGAAGTACTCCAATTGCTTAAATATCCTTATAATGTTCAACTGCATCATCAACATTCATCATAATCATACATTATATAATTTATAACTTTTTATTTATTAAAAAAAATAAATAACCCCCCAAAAAATATGCGTATATATAAACACTTTGCTCGTTCATCTTTTAATTGTAATACTTTTTAGTCAAGTGTTAATATTTCCTTTCATGGTTTATAGAAATTGATATAAAATTGTCATTGTGCAACACATGGCTTACTTTTGAAGTTGACACGTGCAATTTTTTTTGTCAATTTAGCAAATCTATCTGGAGGGAGAGGAAAGTTGACAATTGACTACAAATGTAGGTTTGACGGGTTGAATTGAAGAATTAGTATAAACAACCATGATACAGACTCTCACTATCCCCCACATGTGGGAGTTAGTGATTGGAGAGAGAAAAAAATATATATTTTTGGTCAATAACCGCCCACTGAGGTCTTCCCAGTATGGATCCTAAGCATTAACTTATTATAAAACATAAGGATATAATATATTAGAGAATCATAAAAAGTATAGATAAGGGGACAATATATTATAGATTCATAAAAAGTATAGAAGTGAAGTGGGGTATGTCACAAATTAGAATGACATTAATGTTATGTAGTGTAAGAAAATTATTTAAAATTACATACAAACTGAATGCCGGTATCATTGAGAATTCCAACCCCGGCAGAGGCAAAATTGGCACCAACAAGCAGTCTTTCACCTGTCAGCTCTGGGCTCAAGTATGGCAGCGTTGATTCTGTTCCCAGTTGCTCACCTTCATAAAAAGAAAAGAAAAAAAAGAAATTCCCAATTACTCTCTAGCTAATATTACTTTTTAAAAAGGTACTAATGATATGTGTTTAAGCATAAAAAGCATGTAAAGATTTTGTACATTATTTGTCCTATAAAAGAGAACATCTCTAAAATATGAAAGAAAAAGAACGAGGGTTCGTTATCCTGGCAATCTCAAAATATATAATCTGTTTTATGGTAATTAATAGTTTTAGCCTTGTTTAAAATTAATACCGGGTGGAAGGATATCTTTAAAATTTTATATAAAAAAAAAAAAATGCAACAAATCTAAAAGAATGACGACTAAAATATAATAAAATACATATTTAGACACTGGGGTATCATATGTGTATATGATCCCTTTAAATTTTGATGTAAAATTTCAAAATTACATACGAATATGAAACTTAACTAATAATGTCCGGAATGTTGAGGCCATTAGAGAATCGGCCGGTGGGACGGTGAGTCGGGTAGTCAATCCCATAAGGTGGTGAGTCCGCTCGAGCACTGGTGACAAGGTAGTCATTGTTGCCATTGTCGACGAGTGAGTCTCCAAAAACCAAAAAAGCTCGACCCTGAGCCTCAACTTGAGGAATAACAATGTTCACCACTGTTATCACCGCCATGACCACACATAAAATGGTCCTCCAGTTGGAGGAGCTGATTGGAGAGAATGAACCGTCCATGATCGAAGTTAGTTGGATGATTTCTCTTTCTAATTAACTAACAAGTATGCAATGAGGATGTGTGAGAAGAGGGACGGACTTATATATAGGACTGATTTTGGAGTTGGTGTATGATTTATGTGTTATTTTTACCTATTGTGGGAAGATGGTTATAATCAATTTTTTTATAAAAAACTGCTTATAAGTAGTTTTTTTGTGAGAGAGAAAGTGGGTTATAATCTGAGAAGTAAATTATAATTCACTTTCCAAAATAGGCCTTTGAAAATTTGATAAAAAATTAATTTTAAAATTTTTTAAATCTATTTCATCTTTTTATGAATAAAAAATATAAAAGATGATATGAGTAAGGTAAATAAAAAATTAAAAATTAACTTTTTATTTGATTGCTAAACCACCCTATATCTCATGAGATGAGAGAGAGCATATTAATTGCTTTCGCTAGCTACCTCCAACGGTGGGTCGTTTAGCAGACTTAAATTTCTGCACCAATCAATCCACCAGTTACTACACTACAGTTGTATTTGTGTTTATATATGTACGAGCAGCTGTCGCATGCAATATATATTTAATTTAAATAAATAAATAATAATAAAATTAATATTATAATATGTGTATTATTCAAGTGATAAGAATTTTTTTTTTTCTTTCAAGCTTTCATGTATTTCTCTATATATATATATATATATATATATATATTTTAAATAAAAAAATAAAAGTTTCAAAACATTAAAGCTTTGTTTGGGGTACTCTAAAAAAGTCAAAAAGTCGAAAAGTCACTATCCTATTTAAGTCATATCATCTTATTTAGGTCATATCACCTCTCTACCATATCACTTTAAACCCAACCTATACCCAACTCATATTTCACAAAAACTCAAAAAGTATACTTATTTAGATCATCCCAAACCACTCCTAAATTCAATTTTTCTTTTGTTTAATATTTCCAAGGTGGGTTTCACAATTTCTCTTTTTAGTAATCTTTTGTTTAATTTTTTTTTGACCTTTTTGTTATTTTATGTATAAAAAATATAAAATGTGATATAATTTAAAATGAGTTAAAAATTAAAAATTAACCCCCTTTTTTTTTTCTTCACCCCCCATAATAGAATATATATATATATATATATAGCGCAACTTGCTTGCTTTTGGACCAAGGGCTCTGATCAGTTTTACAAATTGTAAAGATTTTATGTAGATAGAGTAATGGATATGGATGGATCAGGCTTTTAATGACTTTATGTAGCTATCTATAAATAACTACGATTTTTGTAAGGTGGGTTTCACAATTTCTCTTTTTAGTAATCTTTTGTTTGCTGTTTTTATTTAGTTTTTTAGTAATTTTTTTTAATATTTCAAAAAAACCTTTTCATTTTTAGGTTCTAGATGGATTTGAAAAGTATAAAACAGTTATTTTTAAAAAAAACTTATTATTATTATTTAATTTTTAAGATTCTTCTGGATCAAATGAATCTAAAAAATTATTTTTTTAAAAGTATGCCTTTTTTAAAAAAAAAATATTGTCAAAAATAGCCTAATTGTATATAGGGTTGTAAGCACATTAAATAAAAAAGAAAAACATTTTTAAAGACAGATATAATGTAAACTATAGTCTGATTTATATCCTTTCAACTGTAAAAATTTCATGCCTATGTAAGAGACATGGAAAACAATTTCTCAAATGATGTGAATTATATGCCCCAATTATGCACTTTTATGATATATGTTATATATTTTTATAATAAATGTTACATAAATTTTTGATATGATTACGACAGTTTATGATTTAAAAATTGAGTCACATTTTAGGATAATATTACACATTGTTTTGTCCAAATATTTTCTAATAAAAAAATGTGTAGTATTACCAGAAACGTGTAATTTTATTTCTGAATTACAAATTATTAAAATTCTACTAAAAAAATACACTACTACAAAAACAGATAAAGATCACACTTTTTTTGTGTGATGTATGTTATTTAATCACACCTTTTAAGTTTTATTAAAGTGTGATTTTTGGGAGTGTGATTAAAAATAGTCATTTTTAATCACACTTTTTAAGTGTGCTTAATAACATTTAGATCACACCTTTTAAGTGTGATTAAAAAAAGTGTGATTACCTTTTAAGTGTGATTAATAACATTTAGATCACACCTTTTAAGTGTAATTAAAAAAAGGGTTTTATTTAGTCCTGTGAAGGTGTCTTATGCTTCACAGTGCATGGGATCTTCAAGCGCTGACATCATTGTGCTTTGTTGATTTAACCAGTATCTAGTATCACTTGTGTTTAAATACCGAGAACTTGCATGTGTGGTCCTTGTACATCGGCAAAAACAAATTCAAGACACTTCCATTTCATTTTAATTCTGATTTTACAAGAGACGTAGTTTGCATTCAACCTTTATCATTTTTTTTTTCCATGTAATTTGATTCAAAAAAACTTGATTTGAGGTTGAAGATTTTTAGGTGGGAAGGTGTTGGTTGAAGATGGTTTCAATGAAATTATTTCAACATAAAAAACATCATATTCCCAATTTTGTTGACAGAGCAATCAATTTCTTTTTATAAATATTTTTCTAGAGAACAAACTTGTTCCAGAAAAAACCAAAAACCTCCAAAACCTTTGCATGAAATGCTAATCTTATTTGTTTTCAAAACATGAATGCTTCATCTAAAAAGATTTTTAAAGATAAAATGTCTCTATAAGCAAGTTTTTATTCTTAGGCATTAATTAGTTTTTACTTTTAATTAGTACATGGGTGAAATTATATTCTATTAGATGGAGTAAACAGCACTAGTCATTATTGTTTTTTTTATTATTTAATTTTTTTATTTTCAGCAGCAAAGAGTAACACAATATTGCAGATGGCTGTGACACTCTGTTTTGGGTGTGGCTGCCGATAGCTGTTGGTTTGTTTTTATTTGTGGTGTTTGGCTTGGGTTTGATTCTTGTTGTAATTGCACCTTTATATTTTCTTTCTTAATCTATTTGATCTTTGATTCATGAATGGTGCAGATTTCTATTATACTTTTTTTTGTCATAAATTCCTCAAAACTCTCATCAAATACACCCTTGACATAACTAGAGTATCTTGTGAAATTCATATTTTATTTGTTCCTCAATAATTTACTCTCTAGAACATCCCATTTATTGGTACTTCACTTAGCTTCCCGTCGTTGCTTGGTTCATATCCTCTCTTTTTGGTGAGTCTAGAAAAACTGTATATAAAAAGCTAGTTCTTGCCTTGCTAGGCATCTCATTCTTGTGTATATGCTAGTTGTTCAGTCACAGTGTGATGAGATATGCTTGCTGCTTAGATTGGATGTCTACATTTTTCTAGATTCTTCTCTATTCACTACTAGAAAAAGTAGATATAACACATTTTTTTTGTGGCATTTTTTTTTTTTTGTTAAATGTCGCTAATTGTTAACCAATCTTTTAAATTCCTTATGGCGGTGGATAACCCTCCTCAGCCCAGCCAGAGGGCCACCTACCTCCTAAGAGAGGTGATTGTGCTCATGCAAATCCTTGTTGGCTACTAGTTTGATTTCATTCATACCACTTCTCTACTACTAATATTTTTTCCAAGTATTTTAATATCTATGTTTTGGGTATTGTTGTGTTGTTTTTTCTCCTTTCTCCAACCTGAATTGTAGTGGTGAAAGATCCTCTGTTCCCAAATGTTGTTATTTGTCCTTAAAAACACTCATAATTAGTGGATTACAAGTGAATCTCAAGGTGTATAAGAATTTAAAATATATGCATTGATAGGGAAGTGTGTGCCAAAAAGGAGTGAAGTTTGCAAGTTCACTGAATTTTATATGTTGCATAAATTTGGCTATCAGTCTCTTGCCTTGATATTGAAAAGCTTAATTGTAGTATTTGAGTGCTACGTTTGGTCTTTAATTTTTAATGCAAATTACCCTTGTAGTTATTGTAATTTCACTCTTATGTGATAATTTGGTCATTTAGTTCTATTTTACTTGACCAAAAAAAAAAAAAAGAATTTCTTACCAATGTTACAATTTAATGCAATTGATTATGCCTATTTAGAAATTGGGTTTAGATGAAATTTGTGATTATGGTGTTAGACATCCAATTTGAAACAAATTTTATAACCACTCTTACCACTACCATAGTTGTGGGACTTATCTGTGAGGTGAGTATCCAATGCTTTGCAAATGTTTTTTCATTGTTAAACAGATGCATTACCATTGTGAAGGTCATTGAGAATGAGTGGTTTAAGAAGGGATATAAGCTCCTATTTTTGCAAACGAGGATGTTAGTCTCGACGATGTGGATGCTATTTTCAATGAATCAAGGGTAACTATATCTTGTTTACAATTTCAGTCAAAAAACATTTTGATCATCTACCCTTTTGGTTAGTATTGAGGAATAGGGCATTGGGGGTGTTAATTGTGATTTTTGTTTGATGTGCAGGACACTCAAAACCTTGTCGTGGAAAGACGGGAAGAACAACCTGTGAATCCTGTCTCCATGAACACTTTTGAATACTTATATTCTAAATCTTAGGGTCTCCAACCTCAGTTCTCTGTTTGAAAAGCAATGGTATGTCGAAGGCATATAGTTTTTGTTGTTATGTTTTGGTAGCTGAGCTATCAGATGTAGAGATCTTTAGAATCTGAGCATTCCATGCATTTTGTCAGTTAAGTTAGAGTTCCTATCTCATGTCATGAATGACCAGCTGATATTAGTTTTTTTAACTTGTTCAATGATGTATGTCTCCAATAGTTAATAGTTGAATGACTAATAGCTGTCTCTATTATATTGGACAGGCCTTGAGCTGAAGCTTCAAGCAAAGAAAACTGGGCGCAAGGGTCATTTATTTTGTTTGCAACAGAGTATGATCTTTCAGGGGTCACCTGTGAAAAAATCACTAGAACTATCATGTGAAGCAGTGTTTTAAAACTGGGTCCTGAAATAATGTCCTACAGATTATGAGGTGTCTCCCTCACTTTGCATGGTTGAGCTTCGCAAGGTTGGAGGGGAATACCTTAGAATTTCATAAGGTATGGTTCTGAAATCTCATTGCGGATGGTT